AGCTGTGAGACTGAAGACTGGGCCAGAAGTCTAGGTATTAGGAGGCTGCAGCTCAGAAGAGCACAAAGCATGAGAAGAGAAAAAGAACAGTTGGGCTGAAAGGATTCTGAAGGAATAATCATCAGGTCTTGATGGTCAACAGAGAGAAAAATCAGGATGGCCAGTGGCATGGCTGGGAGGACAGTGGCATGGATAAAGGAGACAGAGATGCTGGGGAATGAATGAGGGGAAGTCCAGGAGTTGCTTTTGGGTCAGTGGGTCATTGTGTTAGTCTAGAGCAGTGGTTCTCAACTTTCCTAATGCCATGGCCCTTTAATACAGTTCCTGTGGGTTGCGACCCACAGGTTGAGAACCCCTGGTCTAGGCCACCTCATTAGACTTCTTGGCTATCCAAGATCTATGTCTATCCGCCCCCCCCCAACCTGTGTAATTAAAAAAATACTACCCTGGCTTGGTGTCTGTAGCTCAGTGGCTAGGGCTCCAGCCACATACACTGGAGCTGGGAGATTTAAATCCAGCCCAGACCTGCCAAACAATGACAACTACAACCAAAAAATAGCCGGGCATTGTGGCAGGCACCTGTAGTCACAGCTACTTGGGAGGTTGAGGCAAGAGAATTTCTTAAGCCCAAGAGTTTGAGGTTGCTGTGAGCTGTGACACCGTGGCACTCTACCGAGGGCAACAAAGTGAGCCTCTGTCTCAAAAAAAAAAAAAACTTTCTTATTCATCATAACGCAACTATCTCTCAAAAACTTAAAGCATAGTCATCCCATTTCTGGAAGGAGACATTCCAAGTTATCACCCTGTTTCTACATCCAGCCCCAATGCAACATCTTGGTAATGGGCTGTCTGGTTAGGGGCTACACTCAAGGTCTTTCAATTTATGGCCAGACCGCAACAATGGAGGAAAAAATTGAATAACTAAAGAACAAAAACCCTGTGAGTTGAAGAGAGGAGGTCAGGAACAAAACCTCATCTGTGGTCCCCATGACCAAGAGGCAAGGAGGAGGTTCCCTGGTGTGATTCTGCTGCCTCCCTGAGAGTGGTGCTGAGGGGGTAGGGGTTGGGGTCACCTTATGAGTAATCCTGACCTTTGTTTCTGAGGTTTGATGAGGAGGGGTTGGGTTTTGGCAATACAATTCCTTTAACCATTAGTAGACTTTTCTGTTGGTTTGCATTCGGTCCTCCCCAGAGCTATTAACCAAAGCTGGAGACCTCATTGAAAATTATAATTCTTGGATAAAGTCCCTAGTGGTGGTGTTGAGGGGGAGGAAGGGTTGTCTCTTAGCAACAGGCCCCTGTGCTCCACTCCTCCCAGGAGCCGCTACCACAGGGGCAAACCACTAGTTTGGGAGGCAGAGCTTGTTTACCCCTTCCCACTTAAGCTGCATCCCAACAGAAGGCTGCTTATAATGAGAGATTCTGTGGAGCTGTGAGGGCACAGCAGGAGAGGTTCAGCAGGGCTTGAGGAGTCAAGAGTCTTTCAGGCCCCAGGCTTATCTCCCTCCAAGTTTCTAGCCTCTTTGTCTTTGGTTGAGCTGACTTTAGCTTGAAGCAGAGGACTGGCTCTTAATTATCTCTCAGCCATATTGGATTACTGGCCTTAGACAGAAAGGGCCTCTCTGGGCAAGCTGTGTTTTCTTCCTCTCTGCTCTCAGATAGGTCCCTTTCAGCCAGAGTATGTCTCTTTCTTGGTAGACTGGAGGCTATGGGAAAGACAACCACAATGTCCTAACATTTTTCCACAGTCCTCTAATAAATTTCTAGCCTTGGTAGATGGATGGCCTTGGCTCCAGAGGAGGTGGGAGACCATGTCATCAACCATTCTGCTACTGTGTGAAGGTTTGCCAAGTTTTGAGTGGGGAATGATGGAAGCCCCTCCTCTTAGTTCAGCTAATTCTTTCTTAGGATCTGTTAAAAATTTCCATCTCTGCTTCTAATTTCTTGGCTTGGACATTTTTCTGGCGTAAATAACACAGACCCAACTGTAACTAAGTTAAGTAAAAAAGGTTAATTGACTGGCTTATGTAGCTGAGTAGGCCAGGATCTCGGTATCTATCAGAAATCTCCCTTTCTTGGGCAACCCCTGTGGCTCAGTGAGTAGGGTGCCAGCCCCATATGCCGAGGGTGGCAGGTTAGAACCCAGCCCTGGCTAAACTGCAACAAAAAAATAGCCAGGTGTTGTGGCAGGCACCTGTATTCCCAGCTACATGGGAGGCTGAGGCAAAAGAATCACCTAAGCCCAAGAGCTAGAGGTTGCTGTGAGCTGTGACGCCATGGCACTCTACTGACAGTGACAAAGATTCTGTCTCTCAGAAAAAAAAAAAAAAAAGAAAGAAAAAGAAAAGAAATCTCCCTTTCTCCATTTCAGTTCTGTTTGGGGAGGGTTGGTTTCATTCTCAGGGTTGGTTTCATATCTCCAAAGGAGATAAAGATGACACTAGCAACTCTGGCCCTCTCCACCAGCTAAAAACCTGAGCCCAAAGAGGATTTTTTTTTCCCTCAACAGTTCCAGAACATTCCTGGGGCTTGTTGGCTTAATTGGGCCATCCAGATATTCTGGTCAGGCCCATGTTCCATTCTCCAGACCATGTGGACTGAGAAAGTGGGATGGAACAGTAGTTTCCCAAGGTTAAATCAGGGTGCTGGGGTAGCACAGGGAACATATATCCACCCATACATCTATGTGGAAGTGCCAAAAGGCACATAGAACTCAGGAGCAGGTCAGGATGGAGAGGCCAAGCTGAGAGTCTTAAGTTGTGAGTGAGTCTGTGGGACAGAACCAGGCTGCCCGTGGGAGAATAGAGGCAGAAGAGGTGCAGAGGCAGACCTTAGAGAACACCCCATCAAGAAACAGGCAGTTTGGGAAAGTAGTAGGAACAGGAATTCACAAAACCCAGAGGGATAGCAAAACAAGGCTGCATTATGGCAGTCTGAAGATGGAGGAATCAGCAGTATCAGCCAAGGTCACAAGTGGGTGAAGACCCTTGATGACAACTGGTTATCTGATTAGCAGATAGTCTGTGACCCCTAAGAAGCACAGTGACAACAGAGGGTACTGGAAACCCAATTGCAGGCAGTATGGGATGGCAGTGAGGAATGCAATGGAAAGCTATGTCAGCTCAAGCAAAGCCAAAGAGGCTGGAAACTTGGAGGGAAACAAGGCAGGGAGGGATAACAAGCCAGAGATTGGGTGCAGGTTGAGGGCAAGGAGTGAGATACCAGAATTGGGGAAGGGAGGATTCTATGAGAAGGATATGGGGAAGACAGATAGAGGGCCCCTAGGGTGATGGGTGGGGCAGAAACACTTAATGGAGATTGACCTAATCTCTACTAGGTCTGAGAAGAGGACCTGGGTGTCTAGAGTAGCAGGGATGGGAGGGTGTGGTGTAGAACAAACAGTGACACTCACAGGTATCATTCTGTGGACTGATGTCTTGGTCCTGCAACATGGTACCAATAGTCTATCCCGTGTTGTGGGTGTGTTTTGCATGACATGAAAATAAGCATCTTTTAAAGGATTTTTAAGGATATAACATAGCACACATAATGCACTAATCCTAGGTGTACAGCCTGATGGTTGCTAACATATGTATGCACTTGAGTAACAACCCCTCAGAGCAAGATATAGAACATTTTCAGCATAACAAGGTTCCTCCTGCCCCTTCCCAGTCCATGCAGCCCCCAGGGGTAACCTCTATTCTATAACCTCCATCATCAGTGCTGTGTGTTTTTGAACCCCAAATCTGTGGAATCCTACAGTAGCCACTCTTTGGCTTCTTCTATGTAACACATTAGAAAATCAGTTCACCCCTGTCATTGTGTGTACAGTTAGTTCCTTATTACTGGGCAGTATTCTATTGTGAATATGACACAACTTATCCATTCTACTGCTGATGGGCACTTGGGCTGTTTCCAGGCCAGAACCATTATAAATAAAACTGAATCCTTTAGGTGGCACCCTAGCTCAGTGGGTAGGGTGAGGACCACATACACCCAGGCTGGCGGGTTCAAACCCGGCCTGGATGGCTGAACAACAATGACAACTGCAACAAAAAAAATAGCCAGGCATTGTGCGGGTGCCTGTAGTCCCAGCTGCTTGGGAGGCTGAGGCAAGAGAATTGCTTAAGCCCAAGGGTTTGAGCTTGCTGTGAGCTGTGATGCCACAGCGCTTTACCAAGGCGACATAATGAGACTGTCTCAAAAAAAAAAAAAAAAACTAAAACAAAAAAAACCTAAATCCTTTAAAAAAAGGAAAATCATATT